TAACAGCATCAGAGCAACTGCCGTTGCTATGGTAACAGGCCAGTCAACACTCCGTCCCCCTCCCCCACGGGTGACGTAATAGCACTTCCCACTGTGATGTAACGGGGGCCACCGCTGTTGACACAAGGCAACAGGGAACAGTATAAAAATCCGGCTGAGCAGTATGTGACGACAGTGTGTGGTTAGGAGTGACAGAGTGTGGATCGTGAAGTCGCCGAAGTCAGTTGCAGTCCAGCATTCGCCGGAGTGAGCTGTGATACTGCAGATGGCAGTAGTGGTGTAATTGTGAATTGTATAAGTGTGCGAGCAAACGTGCAATAAATTCACTATATTCAGTACAGCATAAAGTTATCTGTTGCATCAAACACCCAACACATGACAATTTGGTGTCAGAATTGGTTTACGAACTTAAACACGCCACATTTTGAACTGAAGACTGAAGTGTGTGTTTACAGTGTTGCCATAAGAACATGGAAGAAATAATCGAAATGCTGAAAGAGACGAAGGCCAACCAGGTGAAGGCAGAGGCCAATAGGAAGAAAGACAAAGATTTCATGGCAAAATTAGACACCAACCAAGAAAAGGTAGAGATCGGCCACAAGGAATTGCTGGCCAGATTGGAGGATGACAGGCAGGCCGACCGAAGAGAACTGAAGGAAATGATGAAAATGATGGACACCAGCCACAAGGAGATGGTGGCCGAAACAAAACCAGAAAGGGACATAAAGTCGATGGCCTGCCAAGAAACAATGGAGTCGCATCTAGAAGAAAAGAAGACAATGACCTGCACAGAAAAGATGGAGGGGTGTCTAGAAGAGAAAGAGCCGACCACAGTGGAAACGAAACCTGAGGCGGCCCAACAATGAGAAGTCCCCAATGAAGATGCGGTAGTGAAACTGGTCAAAGGATGGAAGAGGAGGCATAGGGGGCAAGAAGCAAGCTGCAGGGCGATACACAGAGCCGAAGAAACTGACCCGAGAAGATTGTGGATCCTGGATGAAGTTGGCTGCCGCCTGCAGGAAGATGTCCTGTCATGCAACAGTGGCATGGCGCAAGAAGAACATCTTCAGAAAAATTATGACCCATGGAAACTGTGGACCGCAGAAAGAAGTAACCGCAGCCACATTGAAGATTACATGCTGTGCAGGACGCAGGCATTACAAACAAAGCAATGGCAATGTGGTACAAGGAATCCTGAAAGAACACAAGCTTTGGAGGAGATATCAAACAAGACCTGAACGCAAAAATGGAATTAAGAACCGAGGCGGCAAGCGGCTGCTATACGAGAGAAAGAAGAGAGCAACCTCAATCAGTATCGGAGGGTGCAGCTCAAGAAATCTATCACCTCTGGGGAAATGGGACTGGCCTATAAGACTCTCAAGAAGACGCTAGAGGTGGAAATCATGAAGCGAGCAGTGGGAATTTCCAGTGGGTTACCAAAAATGGGGAAATGGAACTTGTGGAGGGGTTGACCCTCTTCAAAAAGGAAAGAGATACTTCAAGCAGAGGAAGAGCTGGTAACATAGAAGTACCGGCCTCCCCAGTGAGAATGAATTTGCGATGGATGAAAGTAATGAGTGAATGTGATACAACGGAATGACGAAAGCTGGACCATGGAATTGCTCGGGACAAGCACCTCTGAAGAAGGGGAGAAGAGGTAGTGCACCGAAGACGAACACCAGAGAAAAGAAGAATGGGGATGTACCGTTAGGGTGTTCGGGACAACTTTCAGAAGGGAGCAATGTGATGTGGATGGTGCAATGCTCAGTAAACACTTCCCCTCAAGTGGAGACGTAACAGCATCAGAGCAACTGCCGTTGCTATGGTAACAGGCCAGTCAACACTACATCCCCCTCCCTCGCAGTGACGTAACAGCACTTCCCACTGTGATGTAACAGGGGACACCGCTGTTGACACAAGGCAACAGGGAATGGTATAAAAAGCCAGCTGAGCAGTATGTGACAACAGTGTTTGATTAGGAGTGACACAGTGTGGATCGTGAAGTCGCTGAAGTCAGTTGCAATCCAGCATTCGCTGGAGTGAGTTGTGATACTGCAGATGGCAGTAGTGATGTAATTGTGAATTGTATAAGTGTACGAGCGAATGTGCAATAAATTTGCTATATTCAATATGGCATAAAGTTTTTGTCGCGTCAAACACCCAACACGTGACAGCATCTAAAATATCACTAGACTTTGCACCTGGTTTTCCAAATCCCCTAAGACCAAACTTGTTATTTTAATTCAGTTTTAGCAAGTCTGCACATCCTCTCACTTGACTATCCCCAAGTAGCAAGAATTCTATGTCTCCTAGATATTTCCTTTGCAGCTCTGGTTGTTATAGTTGTCTTGCCCTTTGTTTCTATAGCATATGGAAACTTCTATAAGGGCATACAAAATGATTTACCAGCAGTGGTACTTTAAACTGTTGAGGGTTCCGGTTCATCTTCTGACATTTTGGCCTAACAACAGACCACCTGCCATTGTCTTCCAATTGTGTAGAATCCTCATTTCGCTGCAGGTAGTTTGTATCTGTTCCTCCTGTCTGGTGATGCATATTTAACAAGCACTTTTAGTGTATTAAATATATTTTTAGTGTCTTTGATATAAGGTTATTGTTGCATTATAGATGGTATACTTATGATCTAAAAATGATGCTACAATGCAACTGGATGCTGAAACATAATGTGCACTCTGAAATGTTATATCTACTTACAATATAATGCACCAAACACTGCAAAATCAGCAATAGTAAGTTTACTGCCAACAAGATATGTGATGGGCCCAAGAATTTTATTGAGGTAGAGAATTGCTTCTTGAAATTCTTTGGTACACAACAGCTGCCCAAAGCTGAATGTCAACCAATGATCAATCTGTAAGGAAAACAATGATCAAAAATGATTGTTACTAAGCTAACTCCAAAACGCTTCTTCAGAAACTAACAATCACTCAGCAGATCAAGAAATTCCATACATTTAAGGGGGGGGGGGATGGCAATTTTTTTCAGGTTCACAAAAACCTGCCTATACTGTCCCAAATTAATACAGTCCAAACGCTCACAACCAATTTCCTTTATATCTATTTTAATATTAACCTCCTATCTATGCCTTGGTTTTCAAGGTAGATTCTTCCCTTCAGGCTTTCTGACCAACATTCTGCATGCATTTTTTATCCCTCCCATGCACAATACATCTCCTGCTCATTTCATCCTGCTTAAATCAATCATCCAAACATCTGAGGAAGAGTACAAATTATGAAGCTCCTCATTATGTAACTTCTTCCATCCCCTTTAGTTGTAAGTGCAAATATCCTGCACTGCATCCTGTTCTCAGACACATTTAATTTATTCTTTAAATGTTTCCTCAGCTCTTGCCTAATCTTATTATTTTGTGCCTGGATCAGTTACCCAATGCATAACTTTTTTGTAAGAGAAAAGTAAAGAGTACAATTACACAAAATAAGGACTTGCCTCAGTTCGTTCAAGCACAGTGCTTCCATACAAACCATATGAACAAGCAACTCGAGCCAGATATCGGCTAATAGTAGAGTTTGTATTGAAGGAGATGTCACTTGTTACTTGTAAAGAAGTTTCCTTTCCCCATTTTATTGTAACAGGAGTGGTATCTTTAATAAAATTTGCAACCAACAAAGCACCTGAAAAAACGTAAGCTTCAATTAAAATATAAACAAAAAAACTCACATTGCCTAATTTCATGAAACATCACATTGCCTATCCAAAATGTCATCAGTTTATAGTTTGCCATCATAAACACCATTATTATGATTTCAACAATTTTCACATGGTGTAAAACTGTAACACTGGAGCTTCAGTTACCTGAGTTAATAAGGAAATTTGCATAACCCAAAATTCCATCAGTATGACACAGTCCACATGAGTCCAAGCACTGAAGGCAGACTTGCACAAATTGTAGGCACTGGGTTGCCATGGTCGCAAGAATGTTCGTATTAATATATTACTACTAGTGCACGTTCTAACAAAGATAATGGAGAAAAATAATTTCTTCTCCTTCCTTTCTCCCTTTTTATTTGTTTGTCCTATTGTCATTACTCCCCTCCCTCCCTCATTCTCTCCCCTTCACATTAAACCATTTCCCTCATCCCATTCTTCTGTTCCTCTATCTCTTTCCTACCTTTTTCCCTTCCTTCTTCTCTCTCTCTTCTTTTTCCATCCCTTTCATTTGTTACCTACAAGATAGCCTCCTTCTACAAAACCAAAATCTTATGTTACATTTTGTAAATCTTATGCAATATATGACCACTTCCTCAGAATGTAAAAAGAACATGATCTAAATAAATCGGTTTTTTGGTCACACAAGTTTTGCAAATAATATTTCATAAAGATAACACCAACCACATATGGGCCCTCATTTTCTGTATACATTGCCCAAGTCTTGCTAATGGACTATGCCTGACTGAGGTTCTCAGGTCTGTCCAACTTGCAATCCACCAAACATTCTATACAATGGATGTGGTTTGTACTCTCCTTCAGGATAACATTAAGCTGAAATGCAGTGCTGATCACTGAATCATTTAGTGCTATGGTCTACTATGCAGATATGATGCAGACCTTTCACATAAAAATATTTCTAACACAGAACATTTTAATTCAGTGACTGAATAGAAGCATGCTTTGAATTGAATTGAATTTATTTACATTCTATAAATCCTAAGCAGGTTAGTACCTTTGGATACAGAACAAGTCAAAAGGTTACATACATAAGTACAGGCAATTTTAGCTTAAAAATTAATATAACTTAATTTTACATCATTCTCTATTTACATTGAAGTATTCATCTAAAGAGTAGAAGGAATGAGCATGTAGATAATTCTTTAACTCTGATTTAAACTTTTTAGTATCATTGCCCAAGTTTTTAATACTTTGTGGCAGATTGTTGAACACTTTTATGCCAGTAAAGTAGACTCCTTTTTGATATACTGATAAAGTTGATGAGGGTAGGTGGAAGTTATATTTTTGTCTAGTATTCATGTTATAGACATCAGAATTTAATTTGATTTGATTTCATATAGGTTAGAATTGCTTGCAAGAGGACAAAGCCTTCCCATTCTTTGTGATGGCTAAAATGTGTAGGGTATAAGGTAAAGTCGTCTCAGTGCTTAATTAAGCATTACACCATAAAGGCATACAGGGGAGTGGATGTACAGCTCAACATTTTTCTTGACCTTGGCACTAGTTTGAAGTGAGTGGTCAGCTTCCAGGCCCAGCCACTTTACCCCTGGGGAAAGAGTCTCTGGTACCAATTGGATAGGAGCCGGTCTCGACGTGGAGAAAATTCTTGAGCCTACCGGGACTCGACCTCCGACCCCCTCGGTTGTCCTGCCTGTGGCCAGTCACTATACTGACTGATATCAACTACACCCACTATGCTATCATGGCTGCTAAAATGGGTAGGCATTTGAAATAAAGTTGCTCACTAAAGGTTCCAGCTTTATTTGATCAACACCATTTCTGGTAGGGCAACTACTTCAGACTACGGTCTTCTGGTTTGTGACTCCGTGCTGTTTGGTAAGTAGTTACTAATGCTTCCAAGAAGCAACCTGTCTCTTCAGTTTTGAAGAGATACGCTCCAGCTTCCTTCGAAGAGTTGGTGTCTATTTACCAAACAACACGGCGTCACATTTCAAAATACTGTAATTTTCATTTTTATTGCCGTGAGAGCCTCAAGTAATAAAATAACTGCTGCCACAGAAAATTAAGAAACTTTCAAAGTTCAACCACCCCGGTTCTCCTTACCAATTGGTGGATTTGTAGAACTTGCGACTATAGTTAACGACATTCTGACAAATAAATTTTATGTCGAGAAATATCTGTCACAACACTTTAATTTTACACGTGTATCATATGGTACCATGTGGCGAAATCTTGCTTTCTGCCACGGATAACTTGCTACCAATATGACAGATCAGACGAGTGCAATTTATTGTATTGCCCAAGTAGTCACCGTGACGTCACGAGTGCACTAAACTGCCATCTATTTAAATGTTTAGATTATCGCTCCGAAATGTCCGCTGCCGAGGATCAATCGATAAAATGGTTAGCTACTAGTCTGTGCTCACAGGGCTTCCGAAATCCAGAGTTCGCAGAACAGGAATTAATAATTTTGTCACTCTGATCCCTTATACTGCAACGGTTCTTACTCCATTTTTAGAAATACGTTTAATATCACTTCGTCCATCTATCAGGAGAAAGTTTCCCAGCAACGCATTTCATTTACATCAATATAACATACTCTTACTGACATGCACTGGACATTGTGAACTATAACTTATAACTATAACTATAACATATTCATACATGTTCAGGAAGGTGGAAGTTGGGTAAACTTGACTAAAAAGGCTGTCTCCATCAGAATGAGTATATACTGCGTTTAATGCTATTATCAATATAATTTTTTATGGACCCAAACATTACATATATTAAACATCAAACATTAAACATTTATGAGGCCTGCCATCCATCCATCCACTCATTCCTGTTGCTCCCACTTGGAGCACAGAGCATCTGTGAAACACTTGTTTCACTTAAGTTTCTTGAGCTTAGACAGTAGGTAGGAGTCCTTGGATCGGGGATCAGCCCGTCGCAAGGCCACTACCTACACACAAACACAGAATAAATGCAGATATATCCATGCCTTAAGTGAGATTTGAACCCACGATCCCGGTGTTCAAGCAGGTGAAGACATTTTATGCCTTATACTGGGTGACCACTGTGATTAGCTGGGCCTTTGAATTAAGTATGAGAATGACACAGAAGGATATTTGGTTATGATGAATGAAGCAATTTTTTTTTCTGTGAAATATAGTTTGCAAGTCATAAATAATTATGACGTGACTTAGGCCTGTTACACCAGAAAGTTTTCATATTTTGAACTAGAAAACATTGTAACCATGCACTTTTTTTCAATGAGATTGTTTTAAAATTGCACTCCTTTTAATATATATATATATATATATATATATATATATATAATATGAAGGAACTACATTTTTCGGCATTTAATAGTAACAAAAATTTTTTTGTATATATTAATTGTATTTTTATTGAGAGTATCCAGGATTTTGGAATGAAAATATGGGATTAATTCTCAAAAAACAGCAGAACATATTCTGAAGACAAATGGGGAAAGAAAACTGCTATTGTAGTGTGTGTTTGATTATGTCTAACTCTGTATTCCATCAGAAAGATTAATATCATGAGTCACATGAAATCTAAATTGCATTCAATAAAACTGTAGTACAAAATGGATATGGTTTCACTTTTTCATTCATTCATTCATTCATTCATTCAAAGTTATCTTTGGTGGGGGATTAAAAATTAATTTAAAATCAAGTAATGGCATGGCTCCGTTTTCACTACATCTACATAACTAATCAATTCAGCTACACCATTCTCCTCTAACACACTGGAGCGAATTTTCATATTATAATACATGGTACAGTCATTAAGTTCGTGGACTGTGGTTTCATCGCCTCATATTACAAGGTATTCACATACACTTACACAGATCCATATCGGCCTTCAAAATAGTTTCCGTTGGCCGCTATGCAAGTCTGCCGACATTGCTGGAACATATTGGCAGGAAATTCCCATATGGCGTCTCTTGTGGCATTGACGACCTCCTTGGACGACTGAAATCTACGACCACGTAGCTTTGTTTTCAAGCAGTGAAAGAGAAAGAAATCACATAATGCGAGATGAGGTGAGTACGGAGGGTGTAGCAAAACGGTGACCTGTTGCCTTGCCAATTCCTCTTGGACAAGAACAGAACGATGTGCAGGGGCGTTGTCATGTAGCAACAGCCAATTCTTCCTGTGCCAAATGTTTCGCTAGGGGATTTCCCTAGTTTATGGCAGAACTTGATGTTTGCCCGTTGTTCAAACTGCCACGTTTTCGATTTCCGCCACTTGCATTTAACTGCAGTTCACAATAGAGGCAGTTGTTCTGCTTACACTGTTTGCACACAACTGCCTTTTGCTGTGACAGGAGATGAACTGACAGGTCATCAAATAATGCTTGAACCTATCCACTGTAGTGCACTGCAACAATGCTTTGCAGCCAGTCCACGAACTTATTGACTATGGTAGTATATGAATCAATGCAAAACTAAATTTTGCCCAGAACTGGATCATGCACAGGGTCTTAAATTGTTCCTTCATTCTTGGAGTGTCTATACAGTTTCCTAAGAATGTAATTTATCATTCAGAGACTTAACAAAATACTGTCAAGTATGTTGCATTTTCCAACTTAACAACATCCCTTTTATGACTATTATCCACCTATGAAATTGAAATGATTGCATTCCACAAATATGACCATAAGAATAATAAAGTTAAATTCTGTTTAAAATGCCTCATGGCCCCATGCAAAAAAATATATTTCACTTAAGGAGGGAACTTTAATGCACAAATCAAATATTTTACCCACATTTTTTTTGGGGGGGGGTTATTTGAGCTATCATTTGATCCATTTCTATAGCATAACAATATAACTGTCCAATGTAGTATTCAATCCAGTAATTCAATTAGTCGAATCCAATTGCTCAATCAATCCAGTCCCACTTCTGACACCATTTGTCATGTGTTAGTGATTAGACATAGGGTTTGAATTGGTGACTGGATTTATTGAACTCTAATAAATTGTCTGGAAGTATTTATGGCAGTGTTGCTAATTCAGGCAATCAACTTCTCACTGCAGCACACACTAAGTCCTCTCAGTTTTTTTTCACTAGCTGTTGCTAGATTAAGGCTCCAAACATTGTAGATTCCTCAGGATTTCTGTTCCCGTTCTTACTGGCCGGCGACTGTCTTACAGCTAACTCATTGCTTTAACTGTCAACTCTCAATTAAAGTAACTTGACCCGGTGGTTCTCATTGTGTAGCCTTGGGCTGGACAGCAGAGAAATCACTGACTCCAGCAGTCCTTACATTGATGTGTNCTTAACAAAACTCTTATTGCTCTTTTTTGGGCCACAAATATGCTTTTCATTGATGAAGATGAGCCCCAGAAAATAATTCCGTAATTGAGTTGAGCCTGAACATGGGAAAAATAGACGATACGTAAAACTTGTACCTAGCAACGGATGATGCCTTTTGTTAGGCTATTCAGTCATGTCACGATGTTAAATCTACTGCCAAAAAAAATTCATCATGTGAAGCCACTGGAATGTGTTATATATGCCTGTTTTTCATTATTTAAGAAGTGTACTATTTTTTTAAATCATCTGGCATATATTTGGATTGTTATACACAATATACAGTTTTCAAATGTAGGCAAAGTATGGGTTGAACAATGGTCATACATACAAATATGTTCACTGATTTTATACATCAAGGATTGACATTTTCACGTAAAAATATTACTTAACATTGCAGTAAATCACTGTAATATTTAGAACCATGTCTTAACTTTTAATCTTACTAAAACACACAATAAAACTATATGGCAGTATGTTCACCTGAGAACCACTGAATATATGAAAATAAATAAAGAATCAAAATTACATTAAAATGAGTATTCATAATATGTTCTTTTTCTGCTTTTAATTCTCCTTGCATGTTTTTTCCAGTTAGTTTTGCAATCGTTTAAAAGTTTACTGACTGAATTTTTAATTCTTCTAAAATGTGTTCAGAGATTTGCTCCATGTTGAAATATTTGGAATGGATACACAATGAAACAGAATAGTATAAGACACAAAAAATTGAAATATGCTTATAAAAGGGGACATATAAGTAACACTACTGTTTAATAAACCAAGAAGACTTAAAGAAATGATGTTCATTATGGCAAATATGCAAAAAAGATGTATTTCTTACTAATCATGATTATCAATAATCTGATCATTATTTAAACCTGTAATTAAACTTCTCGTGAAAGTGTGGTGGTATTACAAGGATCTAAACACATCAATGCCGAGCTCTCTTGTATTCTTCCATAGACACTGCACATGCAGTTTCTGTATCTTCCAGTTCACCAGTGGAAGCACTTCGTTTTCTTGATGGAGTTGCAATTGGTGACTGTTGCTTCAGACTATCAACATCATTAAAGGTGACCTGTGCACCACCTTCAGCTGTATGAAAAATGTCAGCCTGAAAAATAAACAAACTATTCATTAACAGATAGTAACAGAGTAAACTTCTGTCTCTTATGTGTCCAGGTGTTTTGTCCTTGGCTTTAACTCTTACAGTCACCTACCAAAAGTTGATTGCTTACCGGTTCTTGTCCAAAGAGCCCTATCCAACCAAGGCCAGAGAGTAACATGTAATGAAAAAAAAATGATTGGGGAACCTTGGTTCTAAAGATTAACGTTGAAAACGTCGGTTCATTTAATCTAATTCAAAAGTATCTTCAGGCACGTAATCCACATTTAAAAATGTTGACTAATGTTGTAGTGTATGTACAGGAGGTTCTGTTATCAAATGCTCCCACCATCGTTTACTAGGTAACGTTTCAGTAAACACCAAAATTATATCATAATTTTGTCCTGTATTTTGGTGATGAGGGAGCAACATATACCAAGTTTTCTCTGTGTTTACTTCTAGACCAACCTCCTCACTTGCGTCAGTTAGAGTTTGCGTGTTATTCTTTATGGTATCTATATTATTACCCAGTAGATTCACATCATCGGCATAGACCAACAGCTGATGTGTCCCGTTTAATTTCAGTCCCACCATGTTTTCCTTGACATTCGTAATGGCATATTCTGAAGTCTACAAATAGTTGATGTACTGTCTCATGGTACTCACATTTTTCTCCAGTATCTCCAGATCTGATCTGTAGTTGATCTGTTATGTCAAAACCCACATTGATGATCCAAAATAATTTCATTACAACAATCGCAGCTAAGAAGGGAACACACATCACAAGACGCGGTTTACACAGAAAATAAGAAAAACGACCCCTTAGTGAACGAACCACATGCAAGTTTTAATTAAGACAAATAAGATGAACTATCTTAACAAGTTTTAGCGAGTGTAAATTTATCATAATTGACAAATACGGACTTTTTAAATACTTTTTAAATGGTGTTGTGAAAATATATGAGGGCAGGCAATGCAATAGATTGACGTAATTGAGACACCTGATGATGGCACTATGTTCCCGAAACATGTTGTGAAGTGAGAGGTGAAATTGAGTGCACTACAAGACGGCCACTGTATACAAATAATGGATGAAAATCACTGCAACAGGACGCTAAAATATAACATTATCTATGTATGGACTTAACCTTGAGGAGAAGAATACTGGATAAACTTTTGTATGAAGTAGATAGCAGTGATATCCACCGATAATTACTACAGTCAGTTTTAACGCCATTCTTGTGAACTGGTACTATATTGGACTCCTTCCACTGATCGGGAAATTTTTCCTTATGCCAAATAGAAGTAATTAGCTTATGGATATTATAACTTAATATTTCGCCACCTGCTAGAACAAGTTCTACCGGAATTTGATCACTACCTGGCGATTTATACAGTTTCAATTTTGCAATAGCACTTTCATATTGTTATCATTAGATTTATAAAAGCATCCCTACCCATGGCATCAAGTTTACCACACAATGAAATAAGAATGTTGAGAACTGTATGAGTAAAACAGATGCTCAATGAGTGCTTCACTCAGTAAAAGATGAATAATGAGAACCATGGATCTGGAAATGAACAGTCAAGAGATCAACTGTGGTATGGTTTGACTACTGAGAAATGAATAATGGCTGTAAACCTTTTTAACATATTATGATCAAACCTGTACTTTGTGTGCAATTCATCAGTGTTGTTCTAAATGTAAATTTTCTAAAAAAGTTTTGCAAAATGAACTTCTAATGTGGGAAAACGTTATATGCAAGAACTTTATACATGGCCATTTTAAAATTATTGTTATGAGTGTTTTGTTGGGATTCTGAAAATTGAATGTCTTATATGGGAATACTTAGTATTGGGGTAATGCTGTATTTGCCTTTCAGAACATAGTCTAAGCTTGTAGTTCTTTCCTCTGTGTCACTAGGCAGTGTCTGTAGCTATCATTTGTGTTTCCTTGGACATATAATTGGATAATTTTCAAATAACTTTTACAGTGAAATACTGCACACTACTAGCACACTGAAGAAATGCTAGATTCTGAGACAAGCCAGCAGTGGAGTTTCTGGGATCAAAGTGTCAGAAGCCTGGAATAATCTGAAAGGGTGTAACTTATAATCACCCTTCTATGTTCATTTCCAGTGGGTCAAAAGAAAAGCTTGGTACAACAGGGGTCTTTCAATATTTGCTGGCTTGGCAGGTAAGCCAGCAGCAGAGTTGCTGCTGCTGGCCACATTTAGGCAGGTATCATCAAACAATGGACAGCAGAGGAAGCTTACAACATAAAGTTATCTAGTAAAATGGCCATGATGTCTATAAATGTCACACATGTTTCTCAAAACTCTGTTGTAGATATAACGCCAGTCAGCAATGGAAACTTGTACATTGTGCTCACAAGATGTTCCTGTTACTTCAGAGTGTGACAGGAAGTTGTTGATTGCTTGATAGCTGCTCTGGGTTTGAGTTCTGTTGTTATTGGAGAGGGTGGGTTTCCCCATGCACTTAGCCCAAATACTGGTCCATTGTGCATCCCCCTGTGATATTGTACCAGTCTCTATACCCTACTGGTACTGGTGCATGCCATCAGTCCCGACTCAGCCAGTGAGTTCAGCCTCTCCTGGCTCAGCGGTATCTCGATGCTTCCCCCATCTACCAGAGGCGTTAGAGACTACTGCTGGGAGGGAAATGTCCTGAATTTGGCTCAGAGGTCCCTTGAGACATGAGGTTCTTTTACGTGCCATAAAGCTACAGCACGGGCCCCACGGCTTAAAGTCCCTCCCGGAGGACTTGTTCCCTGAATTTTTCCGCCCTTAAAAATTCCACGACCTCCGCCGGGTTTGAACCCGCGTACCTTGAGTCACGAGGTGGGAACATTACCCCTAGACTACGGAGGCTGCTAAAACATATATATGTTACTTACTTACATAGTTACTTAAGGAGCTGAGCCCTTCTTGAGGAGAAGCCAAATCTGCAGCTACTCAAGAATTTCCCAGCATTTTATGTAACCTGAAGGTTCATTACCCTGTTCACAAGAGCCCTTCACTGGTCCCTATCCTGAGCCAGATCAACACAATCCATACAACCCTATCTCTCTAAGATTCATTTGAATATTGTTCACCCACCTATGCCTTGGTCTTCCCAGTGGTCTCTTTCCTTCTGGCTTTCCCACCAATATCCTATATGCATTCCTCATCTCCCCCATTCATGCTACATGCCCTGTTCATCTCATTCTCCTTGACTTGATCATTCTAATTATACTTTGAGAAGAGTAAAATTTATGAAGCTCCTCATTATGCAGTTTTCTCCAACCTCCTGACACTTCATCCCTCTTCAGTCCAAATATTTTCCTCAACACCCTGTTCTCAAACACCCTCAGTCTATGTTCCTCCCTTAATGTCAAAGACTAAGTTTCACACCTATACAGAACCACATGCAAAATTATAAAACTTTAATGTAATGGTTATATATATAAAAAAATAGGTATGTGAATTCTGATAATTGGTCTTCCGAAGCCTTTTCATTCTGTAATTCTATAACGATACATGACTGAGATATTCCATTTTAAAAAGTGAGCAAAAATTATAAAATTAAATGCTGCAGCAACAAATTTAAATGTCCGAGGGAATTTAATGTGCCACTGTGGGAGGCAGAAGAACACAGAAAAAACCACTTGACCAGTTAATGATACATTAAGTATGAACCTTGTATTTCTCACATTTATAAAGTTTTGACTTTGTCAGAAGTGAGTCTGTGTTTTTATGCCTTCAGTATGTCCTTCTTTGTTATATGAACTAACAGATCAAGTCTATCCAAGCCAGTAACCTTGTAGAGATGTGTTTCCAGTTCTCCACTTGAATCCTGGTGTTGGCTCATGAGGCAGTACTTTGTTGTCTTAGGATTGGCAACATGTTTAATGTCTGTGAGCTTTGTAACAGATTTGCGTCGCTTCATACGTGGCTGCATCACAGTACCAAGCTCAACTGCAGTTGCCGGTCTGTGGTCCAACCATATCTCATCCCCTACTGTCTGAGACCGTCTATGCCTTGGATTTCTTACTAATGGTCCCTGTTAAAACAATTGTAAACAGACAGAAATATATATTTATTTTAAATAGCAGGCTATTGAAATATGGGATATTGTCACATGATCTTGTTTCATTTACACTTGGTTTGGTTTATGCCTCCACTCTAAAACAGGCAAAATATATGTAACTGAAACAAATTTATAAAATGAATGTAACAAGGAATAATAGTGGCGTTATGTAAATGAGAGATCATGTGGTTAACTAAAATTCTCATAGGAAGTCTACCACTCATATAGAACAAATCAGGTCTATTATTATGTTGCATTAAAATCTGCATGTTGTCTTCACCATATGGAGTAGAATAAACATGATTCTTATTAGTATTTTAGTATTTTACCCTAAATCATATTACCAGTGATATTTTAAAGTGAATTAAAAGTGTACAGGGTGATTACAAGCAATCTGACTCTTTTTAAAATAAGGAAAAATGTTTTCAAAGTGATAATTAGGAACAAGATTTACATGAAACTGGTAATGATGGCAGGTTGACAGTATTAAATTTTCCACATGAAAAATCTGTCAAGAGAATGTTCCTACATTGTAGAATTTATAAATGCAACTGAACATCTCTACATGAGAAAATACACAGTCAAACTGATCACATCTTGATAGAACGTGGCATATACATATGTTTGATCTTTTAGAGGAAATGAAGGTAATACCAAATTATATTTTAAAAAATATAGGTCATAGGTATAATCTTTTGTGATCATAATTATATAAAACATTATGTGAAGAAACAATTTAGAACATTGGGGAATAAAAAAAATCACCAAAAATCTCGAAATGGACTAATGACACACCAAATGAAATGAAGAATACTGGGTCATGTGAAAGAGTCACAGTATACAGCATTGTTTTAGATGCATAAGGGAATCTGTTCTGGTATGCAATGTGGTAAGTGGAGACAATTTAACTCAACAGAGCGTTAGAAGATGGAAAGCCTTACTGAATGTATCTAATAATAAATATCTATATGGAGGAGGAAGTTAAGTGATATGGCTCTATGTAGTAAGACATTTAATACTTCCTCCAGAATGGTCTAATTCATTTATTACAAAACGACAATTAATGTAATATTTTCTGGTGTCGAGAAATCTTCCATGAATGGGTATGTTTCACAAATTCTTATATTTTCTCAGTATCACATTTATGTCCTGTCTAGAAAACCAAGATTAAGAGCTGTGGGGATCCGTTGTGCTGACCATGCAACACCCTCTATCCGCTAAAGTTAGCACGGTCAGTATAGTTCACCTGTGGACTACAGGTCATGGAGATCATATTTATATATGTTTATTACTGAAAATAAACAAACATACTAGCTTCATATGAGATACAAAAATATTTAATACAGAGTGGGGCGCAGAAACTTCCTTTTTGTGAAGACGCATTGTGAAGGGAGGGGAGGTCGCAGAAAATTGGGGATAGGCTCGGCGAACGCAGCAGTCGCGGAAGTTTCTGTCTAATACCCCTCAGTAGGAAACATGAGGTGGACGAGTGAGCAGCGTGCGTTTGCTGTCGAAGCCTATTTTTTGAACAACCATTCCTACGTGGTGATGCAACGTGCATTCCGTACTCACTTTGGAATTAAGCCCAGAGGTCCGGTTCCCGAATGGAAATCGATTGTTTTGTGGGTAGAGAACTTTAGGACAACCAGGAGTGTGGTGAAAAAATCATCAGGACGACAATGGACCGTTACGACGCCAGAAAATGTGGAGGCAGTTCGGCAGTTGATCTTGAGACCTCCAAGACACTCCGCTCGCAAAAATGCAGTCGCCCTAGACATATCCAATCATTCAATGCGCCAAATTCTTCACAAACATCTTCATTTCCATCCCTATAAGATGGTTGTTGGGCAAGAATTGTCCCCACGTAATTTCCAGAACCAAATAACGGCGTGCGAAATTTTATTGGAAACTTTACCCCCTGATGCACTTGTTTTCTTTAGTGAGGAGGCATATTTTCACCTATCCGGATATGTCAACAAGCAGAATATGCACTATTGGAGTGGTAACAATCCCAGATAGCTTCATGAGAGGCCACTTCACAGTGATAAGGTGACAGTATGGTGTGTGTTGTCGAGAGTTGGAGTTATTGGCCCTTATTTTTTTGAAGAAGACAATCATGCAGTTCCTGTCAATTCACAGTGGTATGCGGACATGATTAAAATCTTTTTCGAACCAGCTCTTGAAGAAATGCATCTAGGAAATGTCTGGTTCCAACAGGATGGTGCCACGGCCCACACAGCCCGAGCTCCGATGAGAGATTTGAGGGCAAAGTTCCCCAGACGGCTCATCTCGCTTCGAGGTGACATACCATGGGCAGTGCACTCACCTGATCTAACGCCTTGTGATTTCTTTTTATGGGGATACCTCAAGGCAGAGGTTTTTAAACATCGCCCCACAAATCTGCTTCAGCTGCAGAATGTTATTCGGCAGGAAGTAGCCCAAATTCCGGTGCACATGTTGGAAAGTGCAGAAGGGAACTTCAGATAACGGTTGCATCAGTGCATAGAGAACAGTGGCCACCACCTTCAAGATATTTTGTTTAAAACTACATGATTTAAAACTTTAAAGTATGTTCTTTCATTAGACAAACATAAATTTTGTCTATCAGTAATAATTTTTCTTTTATTCGCCTTCAAAGAAAGGAAGTTTCTGCACCCCATCCGGTAGAATACTGTATGCACTTTTATACAAGTGATGAAGACAACATCCGAACGCTTACAATGAGAATTATTATCAGGGTTTTTTTTTCAGTTTCTAAAAAGAAAATATGAGTCTTTTACAAATGCCTGTGATACTCGAGAAGAGAAATGACATCAAATTCCTAAAATAAGCAATAAAATACCTTTGACATGAGACATCACAAATATTATAGAAATAAAAATTTTGCCTATGTTATTCATAAGGACAGAATTCGTTTACTATATCTTTCTGCATACCCTCACATGTGAAACTAAATTATTTCTTTCTGGAGCAACTGGGGGCTGGCTGGGCGTAGCCAGAAATCTTGTGTGCTGTACAGGAGCATGCCTAGATGAACAGGTATCCTTTGTCAAGTTTTGTTTTACTTTCCTTAGCTTCTTTTCTTGCTCCTTCATTTGTGTCTGAAAGTAATGGAAGATTATACCATAAGAAAATAATTCGATCATAACAGATGATTAAGGTAAAGTCTGCATATGATCCTTACACTCCTTTTGGGTAAATTATACAGCAGATAAAGGGAAGAGCTCAAAAACCACTAAGAGAAAAAGAGATAAATAAAATGTGCAAAAAAACTGGAAACTTTTACAGAATATAACAAATGGGAAAAAACTCAGTCTAAATGTGGCAGAAATGGGTGGTATAAGAAAAAAAAATATAGTAAAGAGCTCTATCTTCTTGGATATAATGCCATGTGGTCTGTTGAAAGACAACGTTTCGGAGGAACATGTTACCTCCATCTTCAGGGTTGAACAATAAGTCCAGCAAGAAGCCAGAATGATGAAGGCAGCAGGTAACATGTGCCTCCAACACATCAGTTGATTTTCAATGGACTACATGGCGTTATATCTTCACAATCACTGCTGTAAGAACACCAAATCCTAAAAAGTGCACATAGTATTTGATAGGGAAAACTTTTGTAAAATTGGCACTTGGAAGAATACAAAAATACAGAAGTGAGGATAATACTCTCACATGTTTTAGTGACTCATAAATGGGGTTTTGATTGGAGAATCGATTTACTAGATATTACTAAAATATTAATTTTATTTGTGGTTACTGTTATTATGTGTAATTTTTTGAACACTGAATATTTACTACAAAAAATTAAATCTGACTTTTTTCATAAGTCTAAAATAACACTAAACCAAACTGTTGACATCAATACTATGTGTATTTCATGTGGATGACGAACAAGGCAAAGTTAATTACAAACTTCAAACAACATGGAATTTGTTACCATAACATACATTCTGATACCATACAGATATTGTTTCACTCGCTTAGGGCTTTTTAATTGCTGAAGTACCTAAGTCAAATATTTTATATTGCATTTATTTGTATTACAAATTATCGTACTTAAATACCAACTACAGTGAGAGGTTGTGCTTGTAATTATCTACTTGCATTACATAACTGTTATAGCTAGTCATATTCTATAATTACTTTTCTCTATTAACCAACTGAAATATATCCCCACATGTTCTGTAATGGATTGAGTTATAATTCAGGTCTTTCAGTGAAACATAGGAAATTTTATGCTACCAAAGACGCACTGAACTCTTTCCTGGTATCATGTTAGTATATACGTTGTCTAACAATAAAGTTCGCGAACTCATTGCGGTAAAAGTGCTACATACCTCACTGCTGAATATCACTGTGGTCGCCTTCAAACTAATCCCGTTCGGAAGCTATGCACTGATGATAGCACCTTGTCTACCTTTCAAAACAATTTTGGAACTGGTTTTGTGTAATGGCCTTCAGGGCTGCCATCATATTGCTTCTGATGTCATCAATGTCATCAGTGTCATCAAAATGCCTCCCTTTCAATATTTCCTTTATCTTTGGGAACAGAAAAAGACCACTGGGGTCTAGATGTGGTGCATAGGGAGGATGATCCAGCATAGTTATTTGTTTACTAGTTAGAAACTCCTTCACAGAGAGTGCTGTGCGATCAGGTCCTTTGGAACCATTTTTGCACACACATTCCTCATGTCAAGATTTTCAGTTAAGATTTTCCTAACTGTTTCTCTGTTGATGTTCACTTGCTCTGCTGTGCTCCTGACAGTCACCCGACGATTTTCACACATCATTTGACGAAGTTTGGCAATGTTTCCTTCAGTTCTGCTCGTTGCTAGCTGTCCTGATCTCTCTTCATCAGTGACACTTTCTCTTCCTTCAGAAAAACGTGTCACCCACTTGCGAACTGTGGTTTTCTTCATAGTATTATCCCCGTAAACTTGCATTAACGTCTTGGGCACAATAGATCACTGTGGTCACGGTGCAAGGGCCAAGAAGGCCTACCCCTTAAACATTCAACATCTCTCTGATTTTGCTTCCACTCTTGCCAACTTTAACATGAAATTTAATTTTCATTCATTCCTTGAATTCAAGCTCCGACATTCTCTCAACGGCATACCGAAACACACTCATACAATAATAGACGTCACTTAGAAAGAGACTGCCATAGATCAACAACAACACCACAGCTGTGAAATGCTGATTTGCCAACGTCATGAAGCCACTCGTAGTTTCTGTGTGCATTTACTGGGAAGCACAATTTAAGCTAATCTAGATGGAGAGGTAATTATACTGATGACAGTGGACACTGGTTCCATCATGGACTACAGCACAGTTCTATTGTACATGGTACCTAGATTTAAACAGGACCACTACTGGAAACTGTAAATGGACAGTATTCATCTTCAGTCAATTGTTAAGTTTATGTACATGCCTCTATACCACATTGTGAAGGCATGTAGGTGTCAGGGAGATAATTTTCCACATACATCTCAAATCTTGCCAGCGGTAGAAGGCCAAAGGTAAGTGACCACTTTAAATCCAGGGCAAGGGACTTCACACCCATTGGATAGGAGACTGAGTGAACCCCAGACACAGTTGGGATATGGTGATGCCCATGCTGGGGATTAAACTCTGGTTATCCAGTCCATAGCCAGTAACTATAATGACTGACCTATCCTAGCACCTACATGCATTTATAACAGGTAGAAAAGGGATATATGTTTTCTGAAAAAAAAATACAGAGGTTTTGGTTAATATTTTTAAGAAGTAAATGTCTTATCTGTTGTCATCTTACCTTAAATTCAACTTCTTCTTCTTCTTCTTTCACACTTTCTTTCCCAGCTGCAATTCTGTCTCCATACACTTTCCTCAGCCTTTCTTTTTCAAGCAATTCTTTATTTAACAGCATTTCTTGATTTTGAAGCTGAAATAAAGAAGAAAAAATGTGTATGTCTGCAGAGTTTGATATTTGTACTTAACCAAATATATTAGAGCTCTATCTGGCAGCTTAAAATTTCAGAAAATAAAAAATTCCAGATCTAGGCTTTGAATATCTTGGGAACTTAAGTGTATATGGCTTTTACTTCATATCGTTAAATTAAACACACTGTCAGTAACACAAATATATTATTCAACTTACTAATAATCTGAGTGTTGATAAGCTCTGCAATTTCATTGACAGCAGAATGAAACATTGGTACAAAGACGTTGCACATACTTTCACGTATAACTGATCTTAATTATGCTGACTTGGAAACGAACTGACTGGTGCTCATGAGACCAGTGTTGGTAGCTGAATACTGAACAGTGAAATTCATTGGACCAGTAAAGCTAGTTTCAAGAACACTGGCATTTAATATTTGTGGTCCTAGTGCATGTACCATCACTTTCTGGAAGATAACACCTATGCAGTTTTATTTACTCACAACTCCGAATATTATCACATAGTGAGTATGACTAGAGATGAGATTTTGATTGATAATTGGATTTATTGGACTCTTGCACTCATAATGACAATTAACTACAAGAGTCTCAATGAGTTACATGTTCTAAAGCTCACTGTAACCACAGCACACATAAAGTCTTCTCAGTCATCACTAGCCATTGCTTGGTAGTGACTTCCAGTGGCAGATATTCCCCATTTTCTGGGTTCCTGAATTGTCCCTGAGATCAGCTACCAGCTTCTCACTTCTCACAACTGCAGCTCTCAACTGACTCAACCCTGGACGTTCCTCTGCTCCTGGTCTAATGACCTTGTAGGCTGGTGGCCATCTCATACCAAACTCTTGCTCTTCTAACTGCTGTCTCAAGACTGTCTCATAATGAAAGCTGGTCCTTATTATACAGCCCTGGCATGGACTGCACAGAAAATGTCTCTTCCAACATTGCGTGTTCTCTCATTGCCAAAGAAACTACATGTCCACAGAACTGTTCCCTACCAATGGCTGTTGTACTGTTGCCTGTTTACACAGCTGTTACTTGGCAAGGATCTACATGTCACAATATGAACAAAATCCATCCAGCTGATCAGGCATTAGTGATGTGTACACCAATGTATACACAGGTACGTACAGAGATCATTCAAACAACAATTTTTTTGTAATAAGGAGGATAATAACATAATAATCTGTCAACCTATCATGATAAATTTTTCCATGATCACAGTACCTTGTCATATACACCACATACCTTACATTCAAAAGTAAAAGAACAGGGTTGTTGTATGGAAAGATTTCAATTTCAAAGGCTCCTTTAAAAATTATGATTATACATTTTTGAAACTTGTGAAAGAAATCTTCACTAGAATTCATACTCTTCTATGAAATTATGGAACTACATGACTAATTTCCACACTATACAGGATTTATCACAACTCAACGGCAAAACTTCAGGAACGAACTCCTCATATAGAGAGAAGAAAGAGAGTTTATGACAATATGGGTCTGGAAATGCATATTATAATTACAGAGTAGTAGTTGTGTCTGCACGCCGCTGAAAAGAATTGGCAGAGGAAATTGCAGTAATCAGAGGTGACATCATGATAATCATAGAGCTGTCCTCCCAGTGAAAGGCCGAGCCACAGATAGAAAGCACTCATGTCGCCAATTCTCTTCAGTGGCATGCAGAGACAATTACTATTCTGTTAATTATATGCATTTCCGGACCCATGTTGTCATATACATTTTCTCTTCTCTCTACACGAGGAGTCCGTTCCTTAAGTTTTGCCATTGAGTTGTGATACACCCTGTATACTCCAAATTATCAATTGTAATGAAGGGATAAAGACACTTGAATAATTGAAAAATATCGAGCTCAGATATCAGGAGAATGTTGAATGTGAAGCTATGCCTATAACAGGCTGTGGAGGCTCATAGAGTTGTGCGATGTTGAGGTTCCCACATTTTGCTAGACGATTGCCTCACAGATGGCTATGAGGCTGGTAGCCTTAAATGATGGCCACCCTTTACCTCCAGGAAGATTCCTGGTACTCATTTCTGTTAGAGGCTGAGTCGAACCCAGGGCCATAGTGTGGCTGGAAGGATCAGGTCAATTGAACAATTGAATGACCTCATCAGGAATCAGACCCATGACCTTCCAGCTTGAATTGTTGAATGTAGGCATATTAAAATGTCCATATAGCACCTGATCTGTTTAACTGCCTTGTAAACCATAAGACTTATAGAAGAAGTGCATTGAGCATAAACTGTGCATTTAATTTTTTTGCACAGATTTACACAAAATATTGTCAGATGTTAAGTGACTAGACAGTGGGTTTGGAATGGTAACAGGATTTACTGGACTCTTAAAACTTGTAACTACACTTAACTATAATAGTTTCATGGATCTACATACTTAACAAATTGCTACAGGACACTAAGAGCGGGAGCACACCAGGGGAAATGGCAACTGCAATGCAACCACAATTTCCGGGAATTGTTATCAGCCTGAGTTGGACACATGTTAGTGAATGGAGCAGCGCAGACTGAAGAAACAGCAATGCAGTTTTCTCAATTTGCACTGCTCCATTCAGTAACATGTTCAACTCAGGCTGATAACAATTCTTGGAAATTGCGGTTGCGTTTCGGTTGCCAGTTTCGTTGGTGTGCCCTTGCCCTAAGTCTTCTCCATCTGCTGTTTTTTCACTATGCGTTGCTTGGTAATGGCTCCCAGTGCTGCAGATTCCTCAGCTTCTGTGCTCAGCGGCTCCTGTCCTCACTGGCAGGTGACTGTATCACAACAACTCTTCATGGCCATAACCCCTGGCCATTGTCTGCCTACTAGTCATGTCTGTCCACCAATGGCTTGTACTGACAGCCTGCAGACCTATTCACAATCTCAACTCGTTCTTGGTTTAATTTCTTCAGATATAGCTCATGCATGGACCCAACACAGAACACTGCTTCCCACAATTCCTCTACTGTTGCATGAGTAAAAGTCACCATGGTTACATGTTGCTTACTGGCTGCTGCATAGCAATGGACCTCTGTTAAACTGTGTCATCATATGTTTATGGTGCTGTAACCTAGCAACGGGCATTTTCTATGCTTAAGCTATTCAGGCTTTCCGTGGACATGCTACAATACTCTTCACTTAAATACATATTTAGTAAGTCACACTTGAGCGGCCTCCGTAGTCTAGAGGTAACGTTCCCACCTCATGACTCGTAGTACATGGGTTCAAAAACCTGGCGGAGGTCGTCAAATTTTTAAGGGTGGAAAAATTCAGGGAACAAGTCCTCCGGGAGGGACTTTAAGCCATGTGTCCCATGTCGTAGCTTTACGGCACGTAAAAGAACCTCATATCTCCAAAGGAGGTCACTGAGCCAAATTAAAGGACGTTTCCCGCCCAACAGTAGTCTCTAATGCCTCTGATAGATGGGGGAAGCATTATAGACACCACCAAGCCAGTGGAGGCGAACTCGCTGGCTCAGCGGGACTGATGGTACGCACCAATATCGGTAGGGTATAGAGACTGGTAGAATATCATAGAGGGAAGCACAATGGACCAATACTGGTCTAAGTGCATGGGGAAACCCACCCTCTCCAATAACTAACTAACTAACTAACTAACTAAGTTACACTTGAGGTATGCACAGATATGCCTGTAGGTCTTCAGGTAAAGTTGTCATTAAAACTGTTTAATGTGAATACACATCAAAAGATGCACAGATATGCTGCAAACTGTGCAATCCTTGTACACATAATCAGGAGTACACTGTATGCTGAAATTCTTTAGAAGTGATCGATTTGATCAAAAAATGCCATAAGAGTATATAATTTTTGTCATTTTCCATTAAACTGTTCCCATGTCAAACCAATTCCATTTACTAGAGATAACTTAAGAATAGGTTTCACTCTACAAGTTTGTGATTGGAAATACTCTCCATTACAGAGGAATTTCCAAATAATCCTTGTTATATTTGAATAGGTATTACTAGGGTATACTTACATCTTGCTTCAGTGAAACAAGATACGTTTCCTTCTCTTTAACCTGATGCTGCAGATTCATCAGTTCTGATTCATAACTCACCAGTCTATTCTCTAGAGCACTCACCTGAAGAGCAGAGGACCAGAACATGATTACATGATTCAATGGAACAAAAGGAAACATCAGACTTGAAGCACTATTTCAAAGGATGCTTGCTCTCCTTTAATTAGAATTTTTGTCTTTTTGCTTCCTAACTACAAATCTGAGATTAAAAAATATGATCCTACAATTTTACTTCTTGCTTGTATGGGTAGGAAACTTGAAGATCTGATAGTAAAGGTAAAAGAACATAGACTTAAGATGGGGTTTTTGACTACCCCAGTGAACGTTGGCTTCTCAAGAATAATGTACCGTGAAGTTGGTAAGTAATCTCCAGTGCAATAAAAGAAACATATTATGGCAAAAACAAAGGAAGATGGTGTGAATTTTATGTAATCATTTAACATTAATGCTGTCAGGATACATGCTGTGATAATATTTATATTTATATTATATTATATAGTATTTATATAAGTATCAGTATATGGCTAGTATGAGATATATTAATATTACATTTACTCAGGTGAGGAACCCCTCCAACATGTTTTAGTGAGGGAAATACACAGAGTATTTTAATGGATAAAACCCTCCCCCTCTGCCTTGATGCACCATTCAGTTTTCGTTGCTGACTGCACAGAAATTAATTTCAAGTCTGTACCTTTGAATGCATAGGTACCAACATCTGAACTGGTATGTAATTTATGAATAATCAAAGTCAAAGTTATGTTATGATGGATGGTCAGTCGGCCAGTCTCTCTTGTTGTCAAGCACCTATTTGGCACTCAAGATCAGATTTCTTTTCTGGCTGACAGTTGTGAGTTTGTTGATTATGTATAACAATTCTGTCACTGGAACAACTACCCTTCCGTACTAGGTATAAGCTATATTTGGAGAGCTGTGATAGTCGATGACTGTCAGTGGAAGCAGGTAAAGTTATTTTTGGATGAACTAGCGTGACTTTCTTACCTTTTGTCCAATGGGTTTGAAGAGGCGGTCATAAAACGCTTGATGGGTATGAATTGTAGTACAAATTTGTGATTTGTGGGGTGTTTTAGAGTGGAAAAGAGATGGAAAGTCAACATACTTGAATAGCTGGAACATAAACTGAAGAATGTCTGTAGAAGGAGGAGAAGCTTGATGTTCTTGCATTTATATATACGTGAATTATTCAATCAGCTCTGGGAACAGTCTGCCAAGACTAATTTTGGACCAGAGATTGACATGGTAGAAGCAGCTAGAAAAAGTGGCAAACAGAGTGTACGGAGCATTTTGCACCTGTATGGGGACTGAAAACAAAAGTGCTATATTGGATATATGAGGCATATCCATAAAATAAGTTCCATTTGCAAATACTGTCATTGCAGTGCTGTGGTCATGATGGTGCACATGTGTACAAGAGTGCGTTGGTCCTTTGGGAAGGCATGGATGCCATTTGTATACAATCGAACCATGTTTACACATTGTCCTGTGTGTTTACAATGTTCAAGAAAATTGAGAAGCCTGCCACATGTGAAATGTGGTCTACATGGGACGGTCTAGGGTCAAATACAAATATCGGTAGGACCAAATTTGCTAAATTTTAGAGGCTGACCTGTTTCAGTATAACTGGACCCATGATGATGACTCCAACAGCAGCAACTGAGGCCCTACTGGGACTTCATCCAATACATGCGAAGATGGATGCCTAGGCATGGGTGGAAATTTACAAAGTTGCAAATTACAGTGGAGGCCTGAATCCATATGATGTGAGCATGCTCACGTCTTGGGACATGAAGAGGAATTCATCCTGCAGATGCAGGCTGATATGTCTATAACAAACCATCCATGATCAGATTTCTTGACAAAAGTAAATGGGCAAGTGGTTTTTGGCCTCATGGAAATAGGGGACTGATCTGCTTCACAGATTGGTGCAAGATGAATGAAAGCATTGGTGCTGGGTGAAGAGTCATGGCACAGAGAACAAGCTGAACTTCAGCCTGGACAGCATACTGTGGTATGTATATGCCATTAAGGCATGTGCAACAGAGGGAGAGAGTGAAGACTATCTTTATTCTGTCAGACAGTCAAGTTACAATCAAAACAGTTGATAGTTACTACACCAACTTCAAATTGGCTGATCATAACAGGGTATAACTAATGTGGGTGCCAGGTCATAGGGGAATTGAAAGGAATTAGAGTCCTAATTAGTAACAAAATCTTGAGATAAACATCAATTAATAGAACTTGAACTGGCATGTGGTATCTTGGAGAAAGCTGCCAAGCAGGCTATCAGGCACTTGATGGACAGAAACCACCAAAAATATTGAAAGTCTGTACCTGGGGAAAAAATGTGCAGGGCTTTCTTTGGGAATCCTCTACAATGAGATCTAAGGAACTACTGGAACTAAAAAAGAACTAGTTAAGATATTTGGAAGGACATTGTCACTCTAAAGGATATCTATCAAACTGAGGCAGGTAAATAGTCCCACCTGTGAAATGTGGCACAACAAAGACAAAAAAGCCTTATGCATCCTTTGTGGCTGTGATGCTTCAACTGGATTATGATTTCGTCACTTTGGATCAAATTTGATGAAGCCAAGTGACTGAAGAGGACCAGGTAAGTAAAGGCTTCATTTTAAATGCAGAACTGCTAGAGGTGTGGTCTTAGAAAGATGATGCACAATAGATCATTGATGGTCATGGTGTAAGGGCTGTTGACTGCCACACATTTAATCCAATCTAATCTACTTGTAGTATGAGCTGATTATCCCTTACCTTGTTCCTTTCTTGATCGATAAGATTTTGCAAACTGCTGTGCTCATGTTCAGCCAACAATTTTTCTTTCTCTACTTCTCTTAACTTATTATGAAAATGCTGACCTGCAACACAATTTATGACAATCTAGTACAATAATAAATGTCAGTCAACATGTAAAATAAATGATCTAAAAAGTGTATAATGATGAGCTTCATAATTTATACTCTTCACCAAACATTCTTCATGTGAGAAAATCAGGGCAGATGAGCTGTACATGGCATGTAATGCACATGGGAGGTATGTGGAAGTAATAACAAATCTTAGTTGCAAAACTGTAAGGAAGGACACTACACAGGGGGATGGATGTGTGGATGGAAGGAATAGGGTGTGAGGGTGTTGACTGGAATCATTTGGCTCAGTACAGACTCCTGTGGGAGCTCTTGTAAACATAGGTTTCATAAAAGTTGGAGAATTTATAGACCAGCTGAGTGACTACTAGATTCTCAAGGACTCTGCTCCCTGGAGCTAGTAGCTACATACAAAATACACACTANAAGACTGCTTTCTTCACACTAAAACCTGTTTACAGATCACTCCAAGCAAGACTTCAATGTAACAAAGCTGTGGATCCTGATATGGAGAATGCAGTGCAGTTAAAGCTGAATAATAGGCTGATGTCTTCTCAGTAAGTTAACAGTACAGACAAATGGTTTGTGTCATCATTCTACTGCATATTTACTCTGCTTAAGAGCCAATTCTTTTTCCATTATTTAATGTGCATAATTTTACCTCTACATGTACATGAAAATGAACTTTAACCTTCAAACATTTTCATTCTATCAATTTTGCTGTATGAAGACTTCACTTATCCCCATTGCAGACATAGAGTGAAAGCTTTCAGCTTTACAAAGAGCTTTCATATAACATTTCAATCCATTCAGTACCACTAAATAAGCTTTTACTCTACTTATATCATAATTTTTCTACATATTTAAAGAACAAAAATTATATTAAAAATAAAAGTATTTAGTACTAACAATAATGAGTGAAATAAATTGTGGCAAACAATAGTACTTACATTTTTGTTGCCAGTCTTTAAGTAAGAGACTTCTCCTCTTCATTCGTAACTCAAGGAATGTTGCCAAGTCCTTAATTAGCATGTCTGTGCTTGGATCAGTCATGTCAAGGCAAGGAAATGGAGGTCCCAAACTGCATATAAAACAAGCTGAATATAACATTAACATGAACTTCCCCAGTTAAGTATTAAAGCAAGTATCAGTAAAATGACCTTTTGGTTGCTGAAGACAAATTCACAAATTTCTCCATCTTAAAATGTCAGTCAAGTATACAAGATACCTGTCTACAGTACTCATATTAACTATTAGCTTTCTAAGAGAATCATAGTAATTTTCTCAAATCTGTGGATATCTGATGTATTGTTCCAATGTACCCAACTTCCCAAACATGTTTTTAATATAAAATCTTTCATCACTATATGGCTTAGTCCATCATAATTGACAGATAATCTTGTGTTGGATTTAAGGTTCTCATAGAAGTGACTATGAGAAATACTATGTAATGCTATGTAGTCCAGCAGAAGTCTACCCACATTTTCGAGACAAGGACTGTCTCCATCTTCAGGGGCAAAGAGTAAGCTAAGCAAGGAATCAGCCCTGCTTGCCACCTGCTTCTTGCTTGGCTTACTTTTTGACCATAGAGATAGAAGCAGTGCATTCCTCCAAAACATTGGTGGACTTCTACTGAACTACATTGAATTACCCTGAGAAGACAGTACTCCTCCAATTATATTATTTCACTTCATTCACAAATTAGTGCCAGAAATATGATTCCTAATAATGTATTAATTACCTTTGTCTGTTAGGTGACACAATTAGGAAAACAACATTAAACCGTGCAGATGAATAAAACGAAATTTAGTTTGTTACAATAATAACTGCTGGTTATCTGACAACCAAGCATCCAGAATTCTCTACCAACCAGCAAATATTTCAAAGAAAATTTTCCACTTTCTTACTATTATTCAAAAACAAATTACCAATGTGCATGTGATCATCGGCTTTGCAGTAGTTTTTCCATTAACNTGTCAAAAATTAAGATTTAAAATTCAAAATTCAGTTCCCTGTAGCCAGTTACGTTATTATCACTTGTTTAGAAAGTTCGTGAAAAATAAACTTCACTCATCACATTGACTGCCCTTTCACTTTTTGAAGGTCTTGTCGTTCTTCGGCGTCCTCTGATGTGGGATCTGTTACGTTCCTTGTCGTGATGGCTAGCCATCACTTAACTTTAACATTCGTACTAGCAGTGTTGCCCATTGTCCTTCCTTATGCAGATGCCATTGCAGCAGAGGTTAGCTGAATTTATGATAGCATTATAGTACGAGCATTCAAAATCTTTTGTCCATCAATCTGTAGTGTCACCTAAGACTGCCACCCAAGAAATAAAGCAACAATATATAATTTTGACTTTGTATTGGGTTTCTATCAGAGTTTTCCTTACACAACCATCACACTTCATTCCCCATACATGCTGTACAACAGGGAGTATGTTGATTATTCAATCACCAAGAACATATTTGTAGTATATTACACAGCTATAGCACACTTAAACAATGCATAAAAACTACAGCATCTCATGCTTTTGTAAGGCAGCCAGTTATGTCAATAATGGGCATTTCATTGAACCCACCTATACACAAGGCCAATGTCCACCTCAGGAATTTGAGATCCCCCATAGCCATTTTCCTCCATCATCTGCAAAGCCTGTTTGAAGATCTGAAATTTGGAAAACAAAATAGCTTATCTGCACACATATTAATTATACTTATAAAATATTTTAAAATTGCTAGTTAATTTTCAACAGCTAGTGAATATTGAAACAGATTTGCAATGTTAGCAGTTTAAATTCTGGCGTTTCCAAGATGAAAATAATGAAACAACAATCCTTAGTACTGATTTCATTACTCAGTTCAGGAATATCCACATCTGAAGTGGATAGCCAGCTACAATCATGAGACCCTAGTTTTAAAGTCCAGCAAAATTTGTGAAATGTACGGATATAATTACTGCAAAGACCAAAAACCCAGTAATTCTGAGTAAATACTATTTTGTGATCCAAATAATGATACACCTAAGAAGTTCAAGAATGTAAAAACTCAAGAACGAAATATTTGATTTACTATTAGATGCAACAGTGTTCATTTTGTACAACTATCCATGGTTTAAAATCTTCCATAAACCAAATATAGTATACCATACCCAACACAACTTACATGATTAGCTTTTCTCCTGCCTGGAGCCAATCCAAAATCCAACTTTATGGCTGGAGGTTGTGACACTTGAACTTCTTGTGTCATTTCTGCAAATTTCATTACATGCTGCAAAACACAATAGGTTAAGAGATGAATTATGAGAATTCACTAAAATAATCACTGAGGAGTGCTCACTTATATCAGTGCAAACATACCTACCATTAAATGTAGAAGTAAAGTTATTTTTGTGAGTAAGCAGCATTCTATAAATTCAATGATAGTTGCACTCCGTCTACTCAACCAACATAACAAATGGACCATTCTATCATCTCTGATTCTGGCTGGTTATTTAAAAATGCTTCCCAGATGGGCAGGGTGTCTAAATGCAATCTTAGAGAACAAGACATATGCACAACTCATTTATAATCCCACTGACTACCACCATGTAATGGCAAGGAACTCAAACTACAGGCATATCAACTGTGGGAACATCCCACATATCATGCTATTTCTACAACGCTCACTATTCAACTCACTTTTCACCATCACGCACGCTAACCAATCAAATTGCCTTCAATGTTCACATTTATTCAGCACTTGCTGCTAGCCTGCATCCATATCATTACGCATGCTAGCCAATCAGCGCTCAGAAAATTTTCGCTCCTCCATCACGCTTTGTATAAAAAGGCGCAGCTCCAACCCAGCAGCAGCAGTCTTCAAGCAGTCTACAAACAGCACACTTTGTCGCCAGCGCTCGGTCTTCAGAGGCATCGGCACTTCGCTGCGCCAGGCATGACTGCCTCGGCTGTCCAGCGTCACATCCAACTCACTGGGCAACTCGGCCTCCTCGATTCGCCGGCGGTCGTGCCCGACTCACTGGGCAACTGGCATGGCTACCACCTCTCCACTCCTGCGACTGTGCTCCACAAGCAAACATTTTCCATTAACCAGGCAGCTCCCGGCAACTGCCGCACTGCGGCTAGGCAACCAACTCAGCTGCCGCAACAGCATTAGTCCACGCACCGCAACCAACATCTCTCTCTACCGCCATACATAGCGCTACTTCACCGGCCAAACATCCCAGCAGCCAATGTTCCTTTTCAGGACCTACAAACTTTTCCGAAGAAGTGGGTTGTCTCCGGAGTAATGACAAAAAAACCCCCACACAACCAACAAAAATATTAGTATAAAGTATTATGGTATTATTTGCAGATGACACAGTATTATAGTAACTGACACTAATAAGTTAAACTTTGAAATAAATCTTAATCAAACTTTCAAAGATATAAATACATGGTTTAATGCTAATTTGCTTACCTTGAATTTTAATAAGACTCAATATGTCGAGTTTCGACCTATGAATTATTATAATATCACTACTCAAATTAACTATGATCAGATAAAATTAACAAATGTGACTGAGACAAAATATCTGGGATTAATTATTGATGATATTCTTTTGTGGAAACGGCATATTGATTATGTTGTTAATAAAATTTCCATTGCATGTTATGCATTGAGACATATAAAATATATTGTCCCCTTAAATATATTAAAGTTAAGCTAAATATACTGTCCCTTTAGATAAGTTAAAGCTAATTTATTGTGCTCATATACATTCTATCATAAGTCATGGTATAATTTTTTGGGGTGGCTCTTCTTGTGTTAACAAAGTTTTTATATTGCAAAAGAAAGTTATCAGAATTATAACAAATTCTAGACCAAGAGAGTCTTGTAGGGACATTTTTAAGAATTTGGAAATGACGACGTTCTACTCTCAGTACATATATTCATTACTTTTATACACAATTAATAATAAACATTTATTTAATTTTAACAATGAGATTCACAAATGCAAAACTAGAGCCCACAATGAGATTCACAAATACAAAATTAGAGCCCACAAGAAGTTATATTTACCTGCAGTTAACCTAACAAAATACAATAAAGGTACATACATATCATGTATGAAAGTATTCAATCATCTTCCTCAAACAATAAAAATGTTGGCTACTGATGAGAGAAGTTTTAAATCTGCATTGAAAAGGTTTTTATATCATCATTCTTTTTATTACATGAATGAATATTACCAACATAATTGGTCATAAGTAGGGCCCGGATTTTTATGACCTAAAAACTATAAATATATGCATGCACTTATGACCCAAAATTATGTCAAATATGACCTAAAAAGTGTAAAATATGACCTTAAATATTAAATGGGACATAAAATTTCACAATTTTAATTACAACTTTTACTAGAGTTTAAGAATAAAGATGATGAATATATGATAGTAGGTCCTACTTACCAAATTAGCCCTATTATGTCTCTGAAGGAAAGAAAACTGATGGAATTTCGACATTTCGTACTGGATTAAACCATTCATTGTTTTCTTTTTAATACTGATATTTGCGTTCATATTTTAGACAAACACTGGTGCACATGGTATGAACACTAACTTAACTCTGTTATCTAAAAACACCATTTAAAAGAACACAAGCTATTCACGTCTCAATTTTCACTGAGTTATTCACGTCTCAATTTTCACTGTTACAATTGCAATTTATAACTACATGCATTTTCAAATTTTCAAATTTGAAAGATCGCCGATTATCACTAAGGATAGTTTTGTATTTGGAAAAACTTCGTTCCACATCACATGATGTGACAGGAGCATATTTGAAGAATGTCAAGTCGTTTGGTGACAGTTCTGTATCATCTTCGAATGTTGCTAGTTTACCGGAAAGTATATCTGCAATCTTGCATAATGTTGAATAACCAGCATTCCGATGAAGAACACTTTCTATTTTGGTTTTAATCCTGTCACTTATTTCACCACGAGTTCGGTTTAGTTCATTCTCAATGCTCTTTACAGTGTCCAACGCGTCACAGAGTTCAGTCCCTACAAATTCCAGGCGAGTTATTGCACCTGAAATTGAACAGAAGTTTGACTTTATGTATGCCAGATTTTGTGCTAGAGTGGTAGAGAATAAGTCCTTGACAGCTTTAATTGATGTTGACTCACTGCTGTCAAAGCCATTAAACATTTTCTCAATGGCTGTGTAATTTTCACAATAATATGCCACAGCATCCAACCATGTACCCCACCGTGTGACGACAGGCTGTGGAGGAAGTGGCAGTAGAGGAGCTTCTTGTTTAAATTTCTGCACTCGAAGAGGGGCCTTGATGAATATTTTCTTTCCGTTTGAAACTAGCCTATCTACATCAGGAAAATGTCCTCGAACTTCTTCAGCCACTCTATGCAATGCATGAGCGAGGCAAGTAATATGGACCATTTTCGGGTAGAGGATTCGAAGTCCTTTGGCAGCCTTCTTCATGTATGGAGCGGCATCTGTTACTAGGAGAAGGACATTATTTCGCTGTATTCCATTTGGCCACAACAACTTCATGGAATTATCAAATAGGACAGCTATAGTCGAATGATTTGCTCTTTCGAGAACTTCACAGTCAAGAAGAAATCTCTCTCCAGGTTGATCTTGTTTCAGGGTCCCAACTATAACATTCGCAATATACCGCCCATCTACGTCAGAAGTCTCGTCCAAGGAAACCCATAACTTGTTGTCAGCAACAGATGTTCGAATCTTATTTAACATATCTTCATAACATGTAGAGAGATAATTCTTTCTTAACGTCGATTCACTTGGGATAGGATGACTAGTGTATGTCTCCAAAAATTGTCTGAAGTGCTGATTATGCAATTTCTCTAATGGAATATTCGAAGATACCATCCACTGACACAAATCCTTCGAAAATTCCGACCCATTGTTCGTTGAAGAAGAAGAAGAAGATGAAGAAGAAGAAGAAGAAGAAGAATTAGTGGAACTGTTTTTAAACAACAAACTTTGTCTGCTATCCTTTGTAGATAATCTGCTTAAACATTTACCATGTTTAAAAGTTTTACAATGCTGCTGCACAGTAAATCGCTTTTCTGCCGTAACTTTCACGCCACACAACTTACAATAAAATATCTTGCCATCGGTACTAAACACTTTTTCACCAAACTCCTGTACAAAACTACGCAACTTTGCGCTCCTTGAACTACATGTACTCACTTTAGGCATTGTAAAGTCAAACTGAAGTCTTATAACGCCCTCCACATATATAAATAGAATACTTCTAAGCCCTCCAAGAAAGAATGGGATGTATATACCTTATAGTAAGACGGAGTACAATAGGAGAATACCCGTTACACTTGCCTCCCTCCTGCCTCGACTGGGAAAGGCCGGCTTGCCAGGTCATAAATGCTGCATTTCACAAATTTTCGCTTTTGTAACTGCAAGTACAGTCCAGTAAAAAATATGGTTTTTAATACGAACTTCATGTACTTGAACTCTATTCCACATTGAAGCAACAGTCCAGCGTGAAATTTATTTGTAATACTAAACATTATGGAGCCGAAATTTTACATAATATCAAAGAATTCTTTCTAAAATGACAAAAATATGACCTTATTTCAAAATTATGCCAAAATATGCTGTAAAACCAATAAAACTC